TACCAATTTTGAATAGAATCGGTCCATAATTACAAAACTCGTCCGCCATATTGAATCCGCCATTTCGAATTTCCTAATTTTGACGAAAGAATCATAATCTCCGACCCCGAAAACCCCCAGATACCAATTTTGAATAGAATCGGTCCATAATTACAAAACTCGTCTGCCATATTGGTTCCGCCATATTTGATTTTTGAAATTTTTTTTCTACCTAAACTATCCCTGAACTATAACGAAATAAACAAAAAAAAAAATTTCCAAATCAGTCGAGCCGTTTACGATTTTATCGAGGACATACAGACAGACAGACAAACATTCATTTTTATAGAGAAGAGGCAGAATAATTATTTTTATTCTGATCTGATTTTTTATCCAAGAATGGTAATAGGAGTGAGTGCCACATTCTGACAACGCTGTAACGTATAACCTGTTTGGAGCGTGCACGGCGCTATAAATAGACCACAGACTGTCTGGACCTCGGATGAATTATTCGCACCAAGGATACTGGAGACATCTGTGTATGTTCTGTTCCACTAATTTCAGTGTTAACCAAATCCCCATTCACGGTGTATATCTAGGGGAGTCGTTAATCTATGCTGCGATGAATGATTCGATCCATTTGAGAGGTTGTCATAGAATAAACTAGTACATGTTTCCTTCGTCTCCAGTGATTTTAAAATATAAACGAATAATTTATTTACGGCTTGTTGCGTTGAACAGCCTGGTCTAAATTCAAACTGGCGATCACTTAGAATTTTTTGGCGTTTCATAAAAAAAATTCAAACGAATGAAGAGACATTTTTCGAATATTTTAGAAAAAACAGAGAGTAGTAATATCGGTCAAAAATTGCTGATTGAGTGCGAATCTCCTTTTTTATGGACTGGTATGACTAGGTATTTTGAGTTCATTTGGAAATATTCCATTCATGAAGGATTGATTTACTAACTGGGTAATTGGTACGGTTACATAGTCGATTGCTACCTCAGTAATGAACAAGGAATATCATAATAGCCAGACGAGCTTATTTTTCGTTACCGATAATGTTACTTCTCTCATTTCAACTTCTGAGAATGGTGTTAAGAACATTGATTCACGACTTCCTTCGATATTATTTGAAAATGTATTCCCTATCACATCAGCCACTAAATTATTTATAGAATCGATGAAAAAGGTGTTGAGGTCCGATGCAACATCTTGCATATTAGTGACTATATGATTTTTGTCATTGGTGACGTAACTCATATTTTGTACGTTATTTTCCAGTTGGATTTCATCATTTATTATTTTCCAAGTTGTTTTTGTTTCATTATTTGATTTCATGAAGAATGAGTCATTATAAGATTTTGCTGTCTTAGTTATAAGAGTTGCCTAGTTCTCCTTGATTTTTCTGTATTCATTCAGGAGGTTTTCGTTGTTATGGAGTTTGATTTCTTTATTTAAGTCACGTAATAGTTCCCCTTGTTCTCTGATTTGTGGAGTAATCTATTCATTATTTTTTTCATTATAAATTTTTATAGTTTTTAATGAGAATGCATAATCGCTGATGTTCTTGAATTATTCATGAAACTCCTTGACTCCCTTCATGACTAGGTAATTCAGAGTTGATGAGTAGACTTCTGAAGTCCGCTCTATTCAATTCATTCTCAAATTATTAATTAATTATATTAGTCTGTATTCGATTCGTTTAATTCTCATATAACTTATTCGATGTTCGTTAATGTCGACCAGAAGCCCATCAATTACTTCCACGCGAGTAACCCTAGCTGAGGCGGGGCACGACCAGCATAGGGCTGGACCACAGCCGGCTCTATTTGCTGATGATACGTTGCTTATTTGTAGTGATACGATACTTGATAGATAGATAGACTTCAAAAAATGAACAGGATTTTACTATCTGTGCACGAATATTTATGCAACTAAAATTAAACAACAAAAACAAAAGCAATGATCGTCACCACCAAATATAGATATAGTTCTCTAGACATCAAAGGTATAATCCTCAGAATCAATGATGAAAAAATTGAAATTGTGACAACGGTCAAATACCTTGGTTTTCAACTGGACAATTTTTTGAATTTCGACAGTCATTTCGAATATATCCATAAAAAGTATCAAAAAACTATATTTTTCCAGTAGGATATCATCTGTCAATTCAGTCTAAACTTACAGTTTACAATACTCTCATCCAACTGCACTCTGATTATTGATCAACTTTATATTTATTCAACCTCAACAAATTGAATATACTACAAGAACTACAAAATCGAGGGATGATGATAATCTTGAAAGCTAATCGTCTTACTCCTGTGAAAAATATGATGGATGTTTCAATTGGATAACAGTTGAAAGTAGGCTATACTATTTGACAATGATTCTTGTATTCAAGATTGTAAATGGAATGGCACCTGAACAGTACATCAAACCTGAATATAGACATTCATACGTACAACACTAGAAATTCAAACAACATACATTTAAACAGAACGGCTTTCAGAAGTACCATGGATTCATTATTTTTTAAAGGCTTCCAGAAATTCAATGAATTACCGGAAGAATTAAGAAAACAATCCAATTTGGAAAATTTTAGAACTTCACTAAAAGAATTTGTAAAATATTAAAAGTAAGACTCATTAGGTATTGTCATAGTGTTATAAACTCCAATTGTATAAGTTCGAATATTATTTTTAATTATATGATTCCACTATTTTTTATCGGTAGATACGACTAAGCAATCTGTAACAATAATAAACAAATACTTGTACTGTTATGAATAATAATACAATGTATCTATCTACAAGTTATTTTGTGAATTTTGAATGTATTACTGCTCCAAACGAACATTTTTAATTTGTAATAGCGTTTGTGTTGATTTCATTCAATTGCGATTGAGTTAATTTAAAAATCAAAATTAATATCAAATTCATCATGTTATTATTCTATTACGTATCAAATATGTACGTCAATTCCTGTCTTTGAAATAATTGAACTTGATGAAAAAAATAGCAAGGAATAATTCATTCAGTTTCTTCAATAAAATAAACAACTGACAAGTCCGTTTTGGCCACATTATCCACATTTGAAGCATACCCTATCAGATTTTTAGATCTGTATAGTCTAATCTTGGAGTGATGTATGTATATTTCATCTAGCGAAAGAACAACCACTCTTTTCCTCTGCATCAGTGATGAAGCAATATTGAACAAGTAATTATTATTATGAAGGTTATTGATTGGAGGATTATTCAAGTCGGAAGATACCTACCTATAGTTGTTGCAAGTATTTTTGTTAGGTTAAATGAAGAAAATCCTAATGAGTTCATACACAGAATGAGAAGTGATGTATACCATAAAAGACATAATCATTGTAGAAGAATACATATTTTTTAAGTTTACCTTTGTTCTTTTTTGAAAAAATTGAGGAAACTGTTGTTTTAACCTACTGAGGTTTTCTTTGCAATTTTTTTCGAAATGATCCATCTGGAAGGAAAAATGTATCACATATCTAATAATATCTGTTTCAACTAAATGAATTGCACACACTACAGAATTTTGAGATGAGGTAAAATTTTGACGAGGTAGGTATAGCAGATATCCCCTTTTTTCGCAGTATTCCTCGAGGTTTTTCATCTTTAGGAAATGTAAAAATCGAAAATACTTATTTTCCGAAGCGTAATTATATTCTCACTTCGCTTTCACAAATATGATAAAATATAACATAACCTCAATTCAAGAACTATGTTTGATGGATTCACACACACAAACACCCTTTCACTTATAACTCGACCGCTAGAATATTCCTTTCACTATTCACTAATCTCAACAATATTTTACATTGATAACAAATTTATTCTTGAAAATTAAACGAATCCACTTCCTTGCATTTACACGGCGTATAACGTGTGTGTATAAAATGACCGATCAAGGGACTGTCGGACAGTGTTGCATGACTTCTCATCACGACTTTCTATATCGGAGGCTGTGGCTGGATGCGCGTAGTCAAACGCGTAAACATGTTTGAAAGAGACGAATCAAACAACAGTGAAATATTGGTTGATCATTGAGTGAACTTTCAAAATGTTCGAGTTTTTTTATGTTAATGTTGCCCAAATTATAATATTCGGCTATATTCGATTCGTTCAATTGTCATATGTTTCATTCGATATTCTTTATTGTCGCCCGAGGGACTTCGACGCGCCGTTGGGCTTCTGAGTAGGCAAAACCAGCATAGGGCGGGGTCCGACCACCACTGGGCGGGGCCCGACTATCTGAGGGTAGGGCACGACCAGCATAGGGCTGGACACGCGTAGTCTAACGCGTTAACATATTGAAAAAATAAATCAAATCACGGCGATTTATTGGTTGATCATTGAGTGAAATGTCCGACTTCATTTCTGTTAATGTTTCACAAATAATTATATCAGCCTATATTCGATTCGTTCAATTTTCATGTAATGGCATTCGTTATTGTCGATGAGAAGTCCATCAATTACGTCCACGCTGGCAACCTGAGCCTGTGCCGCAAGGGGGCGGGGCCCGACCATCAGAGAGTGTGGCACCACCAGCATTGGGCTGGACACGCGTAGTCTAACGCGTTAACATATTGAAAAAATGAATCAAACCACGGCGATTTATTGGTTGATCATTGAGTGAAATGTCCGACTTTATTTCTGTTAATGTTTCACAAATAATTATATTAGCCTATATTCGATTCGTTCAATCTTCATATAATGGCATTCGTTATTGTCGATCAGAAGTCCATCAATTACGTCCACGCTGGCAACCTGAGCCTGTGCCGCAAGGGGGCGGGGCCCGACCATCAGAGGGTGTGGTACCACCAGCATTGGGCTGGACACGCGTAGTTGAACGCGTTAACATATAAGAAAGAAGACGAATCAAACAACGGCGATTTATTGGTTGATCGAGTGAAATGTTCGAGTTCATTGCTGTTAATGTTTCACAAATAATTGTGTCAGCCTATATTCAGTTCGTATAATTGTCAGATGATTCATTCGATATTCGTTATTGTCGACCAGAAGTCCATCAATTACGTCCATGCGAGCAACCCGAGCCTGTGCCGCTCGAGCAACTTCGGCGCGCCGTCGGGTTTCGTCGGTCGCAAAGGGGTAGGGCAAAACCAGCACAGGGCGAGGCCCGACCAACAGAGGGCAGGGCACGACAATCAGAGAGCGGGGCACGACCATCAGAGGGCCTGCCAGCCGGAGAACCTCGCCGGGTTCGTGACGCTTGAGGAGCTGATGATCAGACAGACGGAGGAGCGGAAGTTGCATCCGCACCACATTGTTGAGGAGGTCGAGAGGAATATGTTGTTGGCGAGGCCGGATGTTGTTTATGGTGAGTGGTCGATTATGGCGCTTGCTGAAAATTATGGTTTCTTTGGAAAACAAAACATTTAGGTATCCGCTTTTTACTTTGATCATACATTATTTTGACAAAAAATCAAATTGAAATTTAACAGAAATGAGGACTCCTACTGTCTGTCGTTATGTCACTGTCATTATCTGAGTATTTTGTATCCCAAAGGAGACTAGAAAAAAATAAATGCAAGTTATTATGTTTTATGGCTATCCATCGCACACTTGACAAATGTGAATAAATAAACACACACTATTTTCCTCAGTGTAGTAAGATGCATTATCGAAAGTTGCCCTAAAAAATGAAGTTGGCGTGAAAACTTCTGAAAATGTCATATCCTGGTCCAGAATTGTTGTTCCATTCAAAAATTCAAAACCTGATCCATTTTCAGTTGAACCGGAAGTTACCGGGAAGTGAAGAATATGCGTAAACTTTCCTTTTCACATACCAAATATCCATAATGAATTTAATTTTGATACACCGAATATTCTAGAAGTTATGGTTTGTCTAGTAGGTTCGTTTTTACCCGGTATGTTATATGCACTGGACTGGTCTGAAATAATGATTAGTATTTCTATTTCTATTGCATAGGTTAGGAATAATTAATCTTGTGATTAATATCATGTCACATTCAATCTAGAATTGAGAACTAGATATCATAATTATGTCCTAAAAGTTTGTAAATAATTGGAATGAAAGAGTTTTTTCTAATACTGAATTCCATCTCTGAGACATAAAATATATTTCTAATTGGACTAGGCCGTTTCTATAACCAGCTAAATTTTGTTCAACATATTCGACTTTCAATAGTTTTGGAATATGCGTTGAGTATTTCAAAGCTTGTTGATGACAAAGTGCAGTAACAAGGCGGGAATTTTCAAATACTCTAGCTGTAATCACTCAACTTTAAAAAATAAAAAACGAACACGAGTTAGTTGGATTGACCTCGTGTTTGAAGTATTGCAATAAACACAAAATAAAAAGACCTTAGCTATGTTATCTAATTGTGATCCGATTCTATTAAAAATTGGTATCTGGGGGTTTTCGGAGACGGAGATTATGATTATTTCGTCAAAATTGGGGAATTGAAGAGGGCGGATTCAATATGGCGAACGAGCTTTGTAATAAACAGTAGTTTGAAGACCTAAAGCAACATGCTTTTATGCACACCCATACATAAAAGAAGTTGAAAATAAATTGTAGTTTAAGAAACTAAAAAACACGCTTTCATGGAATGCCAAACTAAGAGGGAGTAGAAAATAAATAGTTGTTTGGAAAATTAAAGAAACATGGTTTTATGGTTAGCTATTTTTATCATTCAGGCGAAGTTTCCGTCCGTCCGAAAGACCCCGAAACCCCTCTACCTACCTCCAAAACCCGCACAAGCGCCGCCAGCGAGAAGAGCGGCGACGGCGGCAGCTCGAGCTTTGGAAAGCGGCTCGGCTCGCTCATGAAACCCCACGATCCATAAAAACGTGTTTCGTTAGTTCTTCAAATTACTATTCATTTCATCCAGGCAAAGTACCCATCCGTACCAAAGACCCTGCAACACCTCCGCCCACCTCGAAACCTCGCACGAGCGCCGCCAGCGAGAAGAGCGACGGCGGCAGCTCGTGCTCTGTCAAATTGACTCGGCTTGCTCAAGAAGCACTCCGTCTCCTTTTCAGTTATGCTATCCATTGAAGCGTGTTTCGTTAGTTTTTCGAATTATTATTAAATTCATTCAGGCGAAGTACCCATCCGTTCGAAAGACCCTGCAACACCTCCACCCACCTCGAAACCTCGCACGAGGGCCGGCAGCGAGAAGAGCGACGGCGGCAGCTCGTGCTCTGGCAATTGACTCGGCCTGCTCAAGAAACATTTCATCTCCTCTTTAGTTCTGCTATCCATTGAAGCTTATTTCGTTAGTTTTTCAAATTACTATTTAATTCATTCAGGCGAAGTACCCATCCGTACGAAAGACCCCGCAACACCTCTACCCACCTCGAAACCTCGCACGAGCGCCGCCAGCGAGAAGAACGACGGCGGCAGCTCGTGCTCTGGCAATTGATTCGGCCTGCTCAAGAAGCACTTCATTTCCTTTTTAGTTCTGCTATCCATTGAAGCTTGTTTCGTTAGTTTCTCAAATTACTATTTATTTCATTCAGGCGAAGTACCCATCCGTACGAAAGACCCCGCGACACCTCTGCCCACCTCGAAACCTCGCACGAGCGCCGCCAGCGAGAAAAGCGACGGTGGCAGCTCGTGCTTCGGCAAGCGGCTCGGCTCGCTCAAAAAACACCACCACAAACAGGAGGACTTTGACGGCAGAACGGCCACCTACCCGAAGGCGAGCAAAGCGGGCGATCAGAAGTCAAACAGGTCGTTGCCAAGGACGCACAAGATGCAGGAGGCTTACTATGCGGTGGAGGACGAGGCCGACACGCCGTACATGTCGACGAAAAGCCTGAAGGTATTTATGTAAATGTAGAAAAGTATACTTCCCAAAAAATTAACGCATCACCAAAAATGATCTAAAAGTTTGAGATACAGTCTCGTCGAAACTACTTCTTCGATTTGGCAAACAAAGAATAATATTAGTAGAAAAAACACGTAAAATAACATGATTAATTTCACCCAGTTCGCTCAGAAACTATCAGTTTTTAACTTCTTTTTGGAATGTACCTATATTTCTGCAATTTTTGATATTGCGAGGTAGTTTATTGAATTCAGTTAAGGCTGAATGAGTGAATCTTTATTGTCCGACTATGGAGCTAGCGGCGTCAAGATGATGTCTAGTTTCATGATTATGAATTTCAGAATTCCGGATCAAAATATTATCGACTCAAATTTCTTATTTATGATATATGAAATTTCAAGAGTTTCAATTCTATATATTCCATTTAAAGAATACGTATTTGTTATTTCATACAATTGATTGGTTGGTGTATCAAATGGGAGACGATACAGTACATTTTACGATTTTCTATATAATGTTGATATTTTATTAAAATTATTTTCCGAACAAGATCCCCAAACATTTAATAAATAGTTGATACGACATCTTCTCAATGCACCAGTAAATGAAGATATTTTCTTTGTCAAAACATCAATATGTTTGTCCCACTTCAACTTGTCATCAAACCAAATACCATGATATTTTATCTGGTCAGTTTGTTTTGAGAGTTCATTTTTTATTTCAAGGTTGAGGTAATATTTTTGCTTCTTCATTTGGTGAAGAATCATATATTTTATTTTATTAGTATTTATCGACAAAAGGTTAGAGTGGAGCCATTTTTCAGATATTTTCAAGTCTCTATTTATCATATTTTCTGAATTTGAAGGACTCTTGCTTTCATATAAAAGTACTGTATCATCTGCATATTTACTCGCTAGACCAATTTTCACTGATATTTTGAACATAAAGTTTGTTTGCGTTCGATAGCCTTTGTGGTTCGAAAAATGGACTTTGTCCCAAAAGTTGTAAACTCTAGTGAAAATAGCGAAAATTCAAATTAAACGAGCACTATATAACAACTCACCGTTGTGATAGAACCTCGGATGGTGGGTTAACTGACGAGCCAATCGCCTGTCTTCTCAAAGGGCCCTTTTAGTCAGATGGTCATACGCTCTGGATTCACAGCGTGAAAACCAGCGTCTCGTGCAATGGTGGCAATGGGTACACAGGCGCATACACAAAAGTTTACAGCTTGAAGCTCCTAAACTAATAGCTGTATCGCTGGTAGATTATGCGTAAGCAATAACGTGCACAATATCTATATAGCACTTGCATCAAAACAATAATTATAGCATTAGAAATACATACACCCACCGGGTGACACATGCGTATGAGATCGCCAAAAGCACGACGATCAATAATAATAATAATGATGAGCTACTGATCATGCAGGCGAGAATCGAATTCTCTCCGGCAGATTGATATGTGTCAGCGCTACAAGATTGATGTCGTTTTAGTGCAACTGAAATGAATCCGCGGAAGTATGTAATAATAATATTGATTGAGAATGTCTAAAGCTTTCCCAAACAAAGTAAATATAGTATGGGTCCTAAAACAGAGCCTTGTGGAACAACCTTATTAATTTATAGTTGATTTTGTATTAATTGTCCTAATTTCAAGATATGAATTCAAAATATTTCTAACGGTGTCTCTGAGTTCAATTTTTTCTAAGTTTTCTAAAAGTGTTGTATGATCAACTGTGTCAAAGGCCTTTTTGAGATCAATGAAACTAGCTACCACATGATTTCCTGAATCATGTCCTTTCTGGATTGATTTTATCACTTGTAACCAAATTGATTAGAATCAAAGCTATATTTTTTGTTGATGAATTCTACAATGCGTTTCAGAAACACAATTTTATAGCATAGCATGATTTTATTGCATTTAATTGGCATTATAAGCATGAACGAAGGCATTTGACTGATCGCATGGAACTAGTGATCATAAAAGGAAGTCTTACAGCTGGAATGTACATATTGGTGATTTTAGAACCTCATATACTCTAAGGAGTTTTGTTGATGCAAGATAATGCCAGGCCTCACGTCGCCGTCGTTGTGAGAAATTATATTGAGGAAGTTTGTATCACTATCATGACATGGCCAGCATGGAGTCCGGATTTAAATTCCATTGAGAATCTCTGGGACATTCTTGGGACAAGATTACAAGAGGGACGTAACTTGAATACTCCGGAAAACGCACGGCAGAGACTATTTTGGGTATAGGCCTTCTTTGCCAAGAAGTTATTCGTCCCGCAGTGGAAATACTCACTACTGAACCGCCTCTAAATCAACTTGTGACTCGCATTTTGTTTAGTTTTTCCTTTCTTCAATTTGGATAATGATTTTCCATAAAATGAGAAATATAATGGAGAAAATCCAAAAAAGACATGTAAAAAAGGCTGAAGTGTAATTTCAATATTGTAACTATTACACTCTACAGGGTAATACAAATTCCATGAGAAAAATACGCTGTAACTGCTTCACACGGTATGTATAAAAAAGAGATTTTTATGCGAATACAGTGCACAACAATGTTCAGAAGGAACTAGCCTGCTATTCAAAATATGAAACGCCCAAATCGGACTAGTAGTTTTGATGGAAATGTTTTCTAAACTTTTAGTTACTTTTTGATGGTGCGTTGATTTCTTGGAGAAGTGTATTATGTGTATGTATGTATGTATGTTTGTTTGTAACGCGGCATCTACGAACGTTATTTCGTCCCACTTCAAAACGTCGAATTGAATTGAAACTTTGCACACTTATCAAGATCCGATGACAATAGCATAATTTAATAGTTTTGTTCCATTATCCTGATAAGGATCTTCGAAATGAGCGATTTTTTTCTCGAATTAAATGGTAAATGATGTTCTGCCACCAAAATTTCAAAATGTTCCTTCATCAAAATTTGAAATGTTCGTTTTCACTTCCATCAACTTTACAATGATTTTTTTATATCCAGAGACACGGCAGTGTCTCACACCAAGTACTCGTATGAATAGTTACATCCAGAGAGACGGTTGATTTTGACCCACTTCAATTCGTCGAATTAAATTGGAACTTCGCACACTTTTTTTATCGCTTGGCATGCACGAAAGGAAATCCCTATAATTTTCGAAGAACATCGTGCGAACCTATAGGAAGGATAGGGAGACGAGGTAAGTAGTGGGATTTTTTCGAACTTTTGGAGATTATATGTTCTTGGAAATACTACCTCCGTCAATGAATTCCAGAGATTTGCCATTCTATAGACAAACAAGTTTTTTTAGTTTTTCAAACTATTATTGAATGAGTAAAGAAGATTGCGATGACAATAGCATCATTACATAGTTTTGTTCCATTATCCTGCTGAGGATCTCAGGGTTAGTGATTATTTTTACATCTAGAGACGGCAGTGTCTTGCACTGAGTATGATATGAAAATATTTACATCCAGATAAACGATAGTGTCTTGCACCAAGTACTCGTATTTTCCTTATTTTTTTCAGATATTGAGAGTTATTTTACCAATGCTGTCATATGCTGACGAATACGCTATCATTGCTGACACAGAGGTTGATCTCCAAAGAAAACTCAAATGTTTAGAAGAATATGTCGCGTCGCTCAAAACCGACTCATAAATACAACAAAAACAAAAATTGTCACTTTTGCTAGGCTATATGATCCAAATAAAGCAATAGGCGCGCAAATTCCCCACGTTCACTGCTGTGCGGTACTAACAAAAACATAAAAAACAAGAAAATACGATCTTGTAGCTAGCCGAACTAAAGATTAAAAAATGAATAATAATTCAAAGAACTGAAAAATCACGCTTTTATAGATAGCCAAACTAAAAGAAACTAGAAATTGAAATAATAAAATTGTGTTGATAAATACACAACATGGAAAACATTTTGTCTATTTATCAACACACTCATTATTTCATTTTCTTTTACTTTTCAGTTTGGCTATCTATAATATAGATAGCCAAACTTATATTATAAGTGTGTTCTTCCAGTTTTTCGAACTACTATTGGATGAGTAGAGAAGATTGCGAGACTAAAGAAATATTAATTCATGTAACAAGTTCGGAAAAAATAGTTATTCCACCATTAACTATAGAACCTATCATTATTTATTCCATCCAAACGCGTAATAGTATATTACACACCGAGGTGGGAAGTGAATCATTCCTGTCGTGAGACTAGTTATTCAACCGAGACGCAACCGAGGTTTGTATACTATTTTATTTATAACCATCATATTTCGATCAAAATTGATGAATTTATGTTTCGTTCTGAACTAGAATTATTACATGAGTGAGGGCAAGAAATGAGGGCGGGAAGTAGAGGTGTGTAATGTAACACTCTCCAACCTTCAATGACGTTAGTAATGACAAAATTACATAAATTCATCATCATTCCATGAACTACTTGTCAATGAAGACATAGTCGCCTCTGTTATAATTATTCTGAATTGACTGATCTGATGCGAGATATGCAGAAATTGCACTCTAATCTAATAGCTGAAATTACAGCCTGGAGAACCAACAACCTAGTTGAATCAAGAATTCAACGCCAGTAAAACACAAGCCTGTATTTTCTCTAGAAATGCGGTACTCAGTTTGCATGATGTAACAATATCTGGCAATACCATTCCCACCAAGACCACTGTACCTTTGCTCGGCATTTCCATCAGCAATAATAATGATCTTCAAAGCACAGGTAAAGCCTGTTCTAGAATACCGTTCTCACATATAGGGTTCAGCACCATACATACACTGATGCTCTCAGATTCCATCCAAAGAAGAGCCATTTGCCTGATTCTTATGACCTCATTACAACACTGTAGAGAAGTCGGCGACCTTTCCTTCTTCTATAGATATTTCCACGAGAAATGTTCTCTCGTTAATATCTGTTATCATTCCATCACTAGCAATACCAGTCAGACAAACTCGACAAGCCCAGTCAGCACATCCTTTCGTCGTCAACCTTGTAATATGTCGAACATCACTTTACCAAAACTCGATTGTCTATAGAACGGCAAAGCTTTGGAACTCTTTGCCAATGGAAGTATTCCCAAGAACTTATAACCTCCAAAAGTTGAAAAAAATCCATACCTACCTCTTTCCCCTCTTTAGATATGGAGGATTTTCTTCCAATATTATAAGAATCCCCTTTCGAGCGCCCCAAGAGATTTAAAAAAATGCGCTCGTTGAGATATATACTACTAGCTTCTACACGCGTTTCGCTCGCTAACGAATTAGCAAATGCGATGATGAGAATCTGAAATTTTTCATACAGCTTCTATGAGTTTTTTAGAATTTTTTTGTATAATAATTTTTCGATTCGAGATGACTTTTTGTGTTCAAGGGCATTGCCCAAATAGGGACAAAGTGAGCCATTGGAATGAGCATTCTGTGAATTCTGTCACATCAAATAGTAAGCAATCGCTTCATAGACATATATTTCCCGTGTAAACGCTTATTCAATCAATTGCAAGAACTCCTTACCAGTATTAGGTCTTTAGGCCATTCATCACACACTAAAATGAATAAAAGTAAATTAGCATAGGGTTGAGTGCACCTTGATAGCCTGTGCCGTTAATTCACAATACCCTCAGAAAAGTACAACGCGCTAAAAAAATCCTAGAGCATGAAATACTCAAAAAACAATATATAGAATAATCAGAATTCGAAAATGTATCTGTTTGCCTAAAGAACGAAGTGATTTTGACAGTTGCTGCAATGGAATTGTCACCAAGAAAAACTATACGACGGAGCTCTACAAAGTGATATTCTCACTTCCATAAATAATGTTAATTTTATTAATTCCCACTTCCTCAGAATATTCCTCAGATGGCTGCAGGCGTGTTTATTTTCCATAACATACTATCATGAGGAGAGTTTGATATGAGAATGCAGTAAAAATAATCTGAGCTGTATAAAACTCATATAAGAATAGGCTGTCCCCATTTGAGGACATGGTGAGCGAAAGGGTTAAAGTAACATCAAAGATACATTCCAATAGAACTGAATCGATGGGATTCAGTATTTAAAGATACTACATACAATACAGTTTCAAAAACTGAAAACATGCTTTATTGAAATAATTTACTCCAGAAAAAGTTGAAATGTATTCCACTACAACAAAAATAAGTTATTTATTGCGCCCTGTTAATCGGTTGAGTAGTTTTAGCGTGAAAGCCAGACAAACAAACTTACATTCACATCTATGCAACCGGTCCGTAGGCTATTATTCTACTGAACGTTTTTGATTCTAAGGACCGCTCCTACGAAATGATCTACTGTCCGGAAAAGGTGAATGACGTCCAGTTCGCGACGAATCGAACTCTCGACGACAAAATGTACCAGGACACTCCGAAGAAAGCCGCCAAGATCAAGAAGCAGCACAGCTTCTCGTCCGGCGACAAAAAGTCCAAGTTTACCAGCAAAGTCCACGATTCTGGCTCCAGCAAGGTTAAGCTCAAATCTGCAACTCAGGTCAGTACTCGGACCAGTATTTTTTTTGAAGGTTTCTTGTATTCGAGAATTGAACTTTTCAATATTTTGAAACGTGAAATCGAAAATTTCTTATCAAATTCGAATCATTATGGATTCCCATTTCCACAAACGTCTAGCGATTTTTCTTCATATTTTTCAGATTTCTTCTCGTTTCCATAATTGAAAACATTTATATCATTCCAATATATTTGTTATGAGGACAAATCACTATTATCAAGAGAAAAATAATAAATCGATAGTCAGCGACACATTATTCAAAATGTTTAAAGAATCAATTAATAGGTTAGGTTGGAAAATATGAAATTTCACTTGTCATTGGACGTACTGAAAAAAAAATATCATTTTTATTTTAACACTTCTCAGCGACTGGAGTTGTTAGAAAAATGTTCCACTTACAGAGATTCATGGAAAAAGGAGATACACCACAACATAAACAAACTACCAATAACATCGAATATAGTATAATACATTCCTGGCTTTTCTAAAAAAATAAAAAGTATTGGTGGTAATTAGGGGTGGGCGAAAACGATTTTGAAATATAAAAAAAATATCGTTTATCAATAATCATGTCGTCGACTGGGCAGTCGAATGGTTCGAAAATATCACGCTGTATATAGGAAAACGGGGACTGACAGCAAAAGTCATTCGACATCCATCACCTCACGGGTTTGGTGTGTGGCACAATTCATCTTCTCCTTCATTTCAAATGCAAGAATCTACCCAAACACAGGAAAAGACCAGATCCTCCAGAGGCACGCGAGTGCGGGCGCTGTGGCCACATTTGCCGTCGTCCTCTCCGGAAACATTCCTGGGTTTCACGAAAGAACAACCCATTTCTGGAAGAAATGAAGCAAAGGGAGTCGATGTTCCCTAAGACATGGCGCCCGCAATCCTGGATTTCGTGCAAGGCTGCATGTACATCGGTAGTAAAAGACGCTTGACAGTTTACTGGGCGAATCGTGATTATGAAGATGTAAAAGACATTATCGATTTTGAATTACGACCTGAACAAATGCCAAAAGAACATCGAGAGGATTATCTGGCCCTATTGAAGAATTTTTCAGATGTTTTCGAAGAAGGCTTGCATCAATCTACTACCCGTTCTACTTCACATCATATTCGACTTCGAGATGATAAACCCTTTCAGATTAGACGTTACCAGTACTCACTGCAGAAGAAAGAAACCATGCATAATGAAGTCAAGGAAATGCTGGCTGCAGGAGTCATCCGTCGAAGCACATCTGCGTACTGTTCTCCGGTAGTGATAGTACAGAAGAAAGATCGCAAACCACGTTTTTGTGTCGATTATAGACAATTGAATTCACAATCAGAATCGGAAGTTTCCCAAATTCCCCATATACGGGACACTATTCCTGAGCTTGGAACCAGCAAAGTGTTCACATCCCTTGACCTCAGAAGTGGGTACTGGCAGGTGCCAATGCATGAGGATAGCATAAAACTAACTGCATTTGGTACACCTGATGGGGGTGTGTATGAGTTTTTGGTAATGCCATTTGGCCTAAAAAATGCACCATCTACATTCCAAAAGTTGATGGTCGAAGTTTTCAGGGGATATATCGACATTTTCGTCAAAGTTTATCTAGACGATATAATCATTTATTCAGAGAATCATGAGGAACACTTCAAACATTTGACGCTGGTTCTTGAGCGCTTAAGGGTGAATCAGTTGAGATGTTCCTTATCGAAATGCCAATTCGCTACTTCTCATTTACAGTACTTAGGACACTGCATCGATAGTCAAGTCAACACACCACAAGAAAAACATCAACTGAAAATCTTAGATTATACAAGTCCCAAATCATTCAAGGAACTGCAATGTTTTCTTGGAACCGCCAACTGGTTGAGAGAATTCATCTCCGATTTCGCCTCCATATCAGCTCCGATGACTGATCTTTTAGGTAGGAAGAAATTTATCTGGACTGATGAGTGTGAAACTGCATTTATTACACTGAAAAAAGAATTGTCGAAACCATTAATTCTTCACAGACCTGATCCACACAAAACATTCTTCTTACAAACTGATGCATCACAAAGGGGCATGGGAGCTGTTTTATACCAACTAGATTCGAATGGAAATAAACTAGTCATATCATATATTAGTGCAAAATTCACCAAGACAGAGCAACGTTTCCATGTGAATGAACAAGAGGTTCTAGCAGTTGTTTGGGCCTGCAAACGATATCCACCATATCTAGAAGACCATTCTTTCACTCTGGTAACCGACAGTCGAGCTCTATCTTGGCTATCTAAATTCGAAGATGAGAAAGCTAAGTTGACTCGGTGGTCTTTGCTCCTTCAAGAATTTTCTTATGATGTACAGCACTGTCCAGGTAAAGAAAATCAGTTGGCTGATTTTTTATCAAGAAATCCGCTCGGGTCTGTAGATACAACCAGAGAAGAATACGATGAAAGATTATTACCACCGTCATCGAGTAACATGCTTGGCGGACCAGCACAAGAGCCAATGTTATGTCTAGTGGAAACAGAAACACTCGAAAATGTTGTGAAACAAGAACAACTCGCTGATCCAGACATTCAGAATAGCATGATATTGTGGAATAATTTGCAGAACAAATCTCCCGAAAATCTTCGAGGACGCCAACGAGAACTTCGTAATCATTCTTTGGTGAGAGATGGATTTCTATGGAACACCAAGAATGGGATAGAAGTTTTGGAAGTACCAAGAAAATTGCGACCAAGGGTTCTCTATGAATTTCACGATTCCAGTTATTCCAACCATCCTGGACGAGATGAAACTTTCCGAAGTATTCGAAATCGTTTCAGTTGGTCGGGTTCATGACGAACAGTTCGAGATCACGTTCGACTAGGTCAAATTTGTGCATCTACCAAGGCTAGTCGTGTTAAGTTCATGCTCCGATGCGCCCCAAAGCACCTACCGCTCCATGGCAAACTGTAAGTGTCGATGTAATGGGCCCCTACCCAGTAACAATAAAAGAGAACAGATTTCTTATCGTTTTATCAGACGTATTTTCTAAATGGACAGAGACAGCACCTACGCCTTTTGCAACTACTATAAAAATAACAGAATTCCTGCGTTCTCAGTTCTGCCGGTGGGGTTTTCCACAAACAGTCATCACAGATAACGGACCTCAGTTCAAGAGTCGTATGTGGTCGGGATTCATGAATGATCACCACATGGTACATTATACGACTCCAATTTTCCACCAACGAGCAAATCCAGTAGAAAGAAGGAATCAGGAAATTAAGAAAGCCTTGAGAAGTCAAACCATGCAAAAAGGTGTAGAGAGATGGGACGATAATATTTCAGATATTATATTCTCTATCAACAATAGAAAGAATGATGCTACAGGGATGAGTCCGAGTTATTTTGGTGCTGAACTGAATCGACCTGGAGAAATTCATCAGCTTGGAATTCCAATGGAAGAAAGGAATGATCGGGTACAAAAAGCTAAGGCTAATCAAGAGAACTTTCATAGGATTGCTTATCCTGAGCCCATAAGAGCTTCAGCGCAATTCCAACAAGGCCAAGCTGTGATGGTTCGAGAGTTTAGAAATACTGATGATAGAGGGTTGGGTAAGACCTGGACTGGTCCGCATTCTGTCGTCGATGTATTAGGTCAAAACACCTATGAAGTTGTTCGAGATGGACTCGTAGTGAAAATTCATGCAGATGATCTTCGATCGTATAGAGGACACCCTCGCGGAAATGAAATTGCGAGAGAAGAGGTGAAAGAAAGTGATCTGGATGTTGGACAACACGAGAGTGAATTGAATAGTACTGTCAATAACCAAGAACAATTATTAGTTGATGTTGATAGCGATAATTCACGGCCAGTTCGACGAGCTGTTCAGAGAAAGTGCTGCAAGTTTTGCTGATAATATTTGCGACAAGTATCATCTTTATAATTGTATTGTATGATTTTTTTTTCTTCTTTGTTATAAGTTGAATTTGATAATCAAATAAATCCAACTTTTTGAGGGGGGGGGGGATGTCGTCGACTGGAAAATATCACGCTGTATATAGGAAAACGGGGACTGACAGCAAAAGTCATTCGACATCCATCACCTCACGGGTTTGGTGTGTGGCACAATTCATCTTCAACTTCATTTCAAATGCAAGAATCTACCCAAACACAGGAAAAGACCAGATCCTCCAGAGGCACGCGAGTGCGGGCGCTGTGGCCAAATTTGCCGTCGTCCTCTCCGGAAACATTCCTGGGTTTCACGAAAGAACAACCCATTTCTGGAAGAAATGAAGCAAAGGGAGTCGATGTTCCCCTAAGACAATCATAATGTAGTTATCACTATTTTCGATTCATCGATATTATCAATTTCCGATAGATAATATCGACGATGTCGATATTTTTTTTTATATTATCGAATATCGTAACATTTTCCTAACCTTACTGATATAATACATAGAAATCAATTCTTACTCAAACAGAACTGAAAATGAAGAGCAATCAATACCTCCCTCTCAACAATCTCCTCTCCCTATCCTCCCCGGTTCTTCGGACTTTATGGGAAGGGATTTTGAAACGTAAATTTATGAAAAGAGAAAGAAAATCACTATTTCTCTATGCTAACGGCAGCTTGTCATCGGCGGCTCATGGGTGTGAGTTGATTGCATTTTAGTTGGAGAGAATTAACATTCTATGGCATAAAACCAAAAGAAATATTTAATTTTAATTCAAACAATTACTGAATTGAATATTTGGACGTTACTGATTCTTTTAAGCTTTTCTTCACTTTGGTAATGAAATCAGAAACCTGAAAACAGTAGAGTATATCAGTGAAACAAACGGAAAGTTTACCTAGGACTTATTTAACCTATTAGTGCATGGAGTTGCTTTTTTCAAGTCTCTATATTCTGAAGATGTAAACTCATTCAATATACCCTAAGAATGATAACTCATTACGAATAACTTTTTTGCGATTTCTTTTATATGACACGTCCATTTTAATGGACTCCATGC